TGATTTCAGAGCTTAGTATTCCTCATAAAGTTTCAAGAGAATCATCGTGGTTAATTTGATGCAAGAGTTTGTTAAAAATATTTTGTCACTACTAATTGCAACAATTAAGTCTGATTGTAGATAAAGCATATTCCGAAAATTAACATCTTGTAAACTCATGATATCCGGTAATGAAATCTATTAGACAAATAGTTTCGTATTCCTAACTATTTATGTAAGTAACTAACAAATGTGCTTAGGTCTTTATAGAGAACTTCTTTATAGGAGATGACGTAATCAGTCTAGAAGTTTTGTGACAACAAGGCTGGAGCCCCACCTCCATCCCCATCCCTCTCCCCATCATCATCTCTCCCCCGTCTCGTACGCCTATGGATTTTAAGATATTAGATATTTATTAATTGACAAAGTTTCACCCAAAGCGCGAAGATTTATATGATCAACAGTTACCATTGCACAGCCGAGATTAATGACTCAGATTATTATAATATAGCATTTGTAAATTCTGAGCACTGATTGGCTAAGAGCCGTGTTGATATAACTCAATGTCAACACGGGAAATTTTCCGCCGCTAGTAAACACGGAAATTTTTCTTATCCTTCGGGCTTTTGACATTGCTATATTATAAAAAAAATATAAAACATTTTTTCCATATTGATATATAGTTTTATAAAATAGCCTTTTAAAAACACGGGCGCTGATTGGTCAAAAGCTAAAAAAAAAACGTGTTTCTATAACTCGATAGAAACACGGGGAATTTTCACGCGGGTTGCGTGGATTGCGCGGGAGTTTAAAAGACAAAATACAAACAATATTTAATTTTGAAAAAAGTTGAAAAACGTCCCGAAACGCCGAAGAACCGTTCCAAAAAAAAGGCAACACTTTGCTAACTTAGAAAGCGAAGACCTAAAGCACAAAGTATAATTATAGCACACATTGTATCTGTTTGACTGTTTACCAAGGTAAGATATTTTAATTTTACTTTGTCTTTTTAAAAAAATATATCCTCGCGACGTTTTTAATCATGTTTAAACGTTCACTAACTATTTAAAACAGTGCTTTCTTTGCATGCAGGCATGTACGTTGTTGAGTGAATTATATACTTTGTAAAGTAAGCCTGACGTTAAGTGCTGTCTGTTGTTTTGACAGCGATATATACTTGTTTACTTCGCTATGCTTTTACTAGTAATTATTCTTTACACGAACGTATATTATTAAGGTGGAATTAAATGAAAGCATTTGAATGAAAGAAATTAAAATCAATAAATTTATCTTTTCTATTGTTTTTAAAAGGCTATTTAATAAAGGAAATAGAAAACATTTTTTCCGTGTTTCTATAGAGTTTATAGAAACACTTGTGAAAGTTTGGAAGAAACTCGAAATTGCATGGAAATACTCGCACTTCGTGCTCGTGTTCCGACGCAATTTCTCGTTTCTCCCAAACTTTCACGCGTGTTTCTAGAACTCTATAGAAACACGGAAAATGTTTTCTATTTCTTAAATATCAACACTCGTGGAAGTTTGGAAAACTCGAAATTGTATGAAAACAATCCGCCCTTCGGGCTTCGTGTTTCCATACAATTTCTCGTTTTCCCAATTCCTCTCGTGTTGATATAACTGTATATCAACACGGAAAATGTTTTATATTTGTTAAATATAATATAAAGCCCAGCGAATGACTCTCAAACAAGGCATAACAGAAGAAACTATTCGTCGTATATATAACATTACGTACAACATCTTCAGACAATTTAATTCGATCATGTTTTGGCACCGATAAAACTTAACACCGATAATCATTTGATATGTGTCATGTATAGAAAACGCGCACAATTTTAAACAGAGGCCATGCAGTCTAATTTTCTCAGGCCTATACTAATGTCTCCCACAGTACATAATTATATAACAACGCTTATTTTGAAAAAAAAAACATGCAAGGAGTTCGGAAACTAACAAAGTTTAAAATTTTAAAAACATCTGGACAAAACCAGAAACAATGTTTTCACTCAGACCATTCCTGTATGGTAAAACACAACAGACCGCGAGGCTGTTTGTTTTGGACGTTTTTAGTCCACACCTATACTTTAAGGACCCATTTAGTGTCAAAGAACTTTCTATTTCCTGTGGTTAAAATTAAATTCACTCTGAGTTCATGACAATACGCAATCCAAATCTTATAATGTCTGCCGACCATCCAAAATAACAATAATCTTTTCATTGATATATAAAACGTATATAAAACGACCGTGCACGAATAGAAGTCTGTTTATAAACTGTATATATATAACATTTATATACTTTCGAAGAAATGAACCAAAACTGATTGCTCGTATATCCGCAACGTCCCCCGCAATTTAAAACAATGCCTGGTTTGAACTTCTGCTCAACTTTGAACAAAAGGGACCGATTTTAATGATGCCACTTTGACATAAGTAGCTCCACATTTAAATTCCTTTTTAACTATAATTAACAATCAATTGAAAATTTCTACATACGCATTTGCGATGAACAGCTTTCAAGACGTAAACGTTATTTATGGTGCCCAATTTCAAAATTCTTTGTTTTAGTATTGTCAGTTTATTTTACGCTTTTTAAGGTTACTGTACATGATGAACGCATGCGTTTTAGTCTATTAGAGAGCTTAAGATCTACGACACGCGGCCGGCTCAACAACGCGGTCTGAATTTCAGCTCAAGAATGAATGCTAAGCAATTTTATTTCTGTAATATAAATGTTTAAAGATTTTTCAAACAACATTACAAACTGCTAAGTTCGACTAAAGCGTTGCAATGTTTGCTGTAATTTCCACTTTGAGTAACACCTCTTGGGACGCAATAAGCTTTCACGTTGCTTGAAAGACGTGATAATGCTTACTTTAACGTTGTGCTGAGAATGGCAAAGCCGTTGAGAATACCCCTGGGACCACAAATTATTCACAGTTTTTGTCTGGCATGACAATTTCTTTCTTTCGCAAGCTCGTCGTTGAGCCGGCCGCGTCGTAGACTTAAGTTCGCTATTAATTGAACATGGCGCAACGAATTTTAGATGTAACTTTACCAAATTTTTAGTGAAGAAAGCCAAGAAAATGCTGATTTCGAAAATCATCATTTGATGGGTGTTCTGTTTAAACATGTCCAGTATTGGCTGACTAAAGAAATATATAGGTATCCCATAAAAAAAATCAAAATATGTTTATAGTTTACTTCAACATTTTTCTACATATCTCATTTCGAATCTTCATAGGCACGGTAAAAAAAAACGTGTGCGGAAAATTTCTCTTCTTCAATGTTTTTTTTGATATGACGTTTTCTTTGACAACTTTGTGAATTATCAGTGACAAATCCAAGAATCAGGGCATATCAGAAAAACCACTAAAGAAGAGAAATTTTCCGCACACTTTTTTTTTACCGTGCCTATGCAGACATAGGAATTGAATTTTTTGGATCTGTAGACAGTCAGGCAATTACGTCGAAGCTAATTATCGAACTTTCGAAATAATTCTATTTGCCGTAATTTGGAGATAAGAAGATAGTCGCTGTCACGCATTTTGTGTTTTTTTTATTCAGTAATTATTGTATTTTGCCTTTTAAAGATATTTCGTTATCTTGATGCCATTGTAATAAACCACAATGAGATTCTTGACCTTGTAGGTTTTCTTTTTTTTCAATAATTATTGTATTTTGCTTTTTAATTAAAGATATTTCGTTATCTTGATACCATTGTAATAAATCACAATGAGATCCTTGAACTTGTAGGTTTACATTGTAAAGATAAATATAATTGTTTTGTTTGTGGGCATGCTTATTTCCTTGCCTCGGCTTTTGCGAATTTTCCAATCCAAGTCCGGTCTTCATTGCTGGCTTTGGCGCTATAATAATTACATTGGCGAGGATCCATGTAGGCTTACAGATCGAAAGCTAGTAATACAGAATAAACGTGATGTTTCCACAAATACAAAACAATATATTTCCGGCATACAATCAAACAAGGACCTATGCTAACACCTACATAATTACGTACACAAATGTATTGCGACAGTAGAACCTTCGCTTGGCTTCCACAAAATTTAGTGTTCATGAATTGAATGTTCACGAATTTATGCGTTTACATGCTTATACATAAATTAGGACATTTTGGTTAACATAACACGTTTCTATTTTAATGAATTTGTTGCTTGCACTATAATTACTATACATTTAACCTCTGTTTGTCTTCAAACGCCGATACTGAAATATTTGGCGACCAAAATCTGTGTCACAGCAGCTTATTGTAGGCGTATTTTACAAACTGAAGTCTCTGAGGTGTCAAGGTTATCAAACTATTGTATTATAATTAGTTGATCATTGCAATGAATGCATAATTATTTTAGATGGGTTTCATTTTTTTTTGCACGCCATGTATGTAGATCTCTTAGCTCCGTGTCATTTAAGTCTTGGTGCATGGGCTTCATTAGTTGACATCAATCTATTAACATATTTCTTACTCTGATATAACTGCTGCAGATTGACAATCGTCTGCTGCAAATATCAATACCTATTTTAGTATGCTGTATTGCATTCTTAATTAATTAACTGAATTGTGCAGTGTTGGTTTGAAAGCGTGCAGTATTGAATTTGAAAGTGTGCAATATTGAAAATTTGAAATTTTCAGTTTTAGCTTTGTATTCCAAGGCAGGGCTATAACAATGGCTTATAGACTACGAATGCACAAACAAAGGCGAGGGGGTGGGTTTCGGTTACTTTTAATGATAAGGAATAGAAAAAGAACCAACTTTTGGTTGAGCTCAGTCACATGTTATAGTTGAACTGGAATTTCCCAGCGCAGAACGGGTTATTTGGACGAGCAGTCGAATGATTTTCCCGACTAAATAAACCATGTAGGTGTATAGATGTTTATATTGCTTAGATTATGTTAATTGCTGTTTTTGCTGATTATATTGTGATTGTTATTGTTGATTCGTTGCTAATGCCTAATGGTGATGGTTATGATGGTGGTGATGGTCTCTACTGCATTAATTCGTTCACTCGCTCAATGATGTTGACGATATCTTTAACACGCATCTTTTCTTCATCGGTGAAGTCGTCCGATATCTGCCACTGAACCGCATCCCGATCAACTATCGGGTGCGCAAACTGTTTCCTGGACTCGAGTAGTTTAAAAAATACTCTTTCATGTTCACTTGACCACAAAAACTCGCTCTGCAATGCATTCCACTTTTCATTTGCTTTACTTCCTTGTAGGGTGTCCTTTTTCTCCTCTAGCCATTTTTTCATGTTTGTAAATATTTTGCGGGAACCGAATTTCTTATCATGTGGGTAGACGTATGTGGCAAGGTCCTTCTCGAAGTCGAAGGCAATCTGGCCTGTATAAAGAGCGCTTTCTATCTTTTTTAATTTGATTTCGTGTCGCTCTACTTTTTTATTTAAATGTGCTATCTGTCCGTCTTTTCCAAAAACTTCTCCTTCCAGGCGAGCAACTCGTTTTTGATTATCTTCTTCATCCTCGTTAAGGATCCTTATTTTTTCTTCTAAGCTCCTTATTTCCTCTTCTGCCTTGCTTACTTTTCTTTCTATTCTGCTGATTTCCTCGATATTTAGCTCCACCGATTCGTTGATTCCCTCTATCATCTTTTCAGCTATTTCTTTGCTTCCTATCAAGTCGTCCTTTAGGTCTTGTACTTCTAGAATTGCGTGTCCTGCAACATTAAGCTGTTCAATATTTTCAGTTTTCTTTATGTGAGTCATAATTCTTTCAAGTAGCTTTTTTGCAAGACAATGCAAATCCATGTTTTGCTTCGAAATGGTTTTGACTGATCTAGGTTTTCTTTCTAATCCCCTTTGACTTCCTGTGAAGAAAATATGCAAACATGTAGATAAGAGTGTGGATTATGATATTTTGGTTATAACAGAAAACTTGGAGATCTAGCGTTGCTATACATAACATACGATTCTGTCAATAAAAAAAATTTAAAGTCGAAATTTTGTTTGATGCAGTCAAACATTTGTTATGCCGGCGGATGCTGTAGATAAAATATTTTTAGAATAATTAAATAACAATTAAGTAGTTAAAATATTTTTGTAAAATTAAATTGTGCAAGGCTAACACCCCTGCAGTGTTTGATAAACTGAAAGAGCTTTTGGTCGAGTCTAGAAATAATTTTAAAGAATGTTTAGCCTAAAAGTTATGATTTATTGAATCGATTTTTGATGTACTCTGATAATGTTTAATCAGAAACACCGGGTGTTACATCCGGGGTGTATGGTGGGTGTAACACGTTTTTAAAAATTTACTCCTAAGAGCCATTGATATGGCAACAATAACGTTTCAATATGGCGATATATTTGGTTTAAAGTAATTTAATTCGAAAATAAGGTCGGTGACCCCATTTTTTATTTTATGGCATGATTTCTTTTAGTATGTTGAATCGTGTTCGTGATTTTGAAAAATTCTGTCATGCCAAAATTTTTCAATATCGGAAAATGTAATAATTCATTAAACATCCTTTTTTCTCATGACAGAATTTTTTAAAAATCATAACAATGATTCAAATTTCAAAATACTAAACGAATTCTTTTTAGAAAATAAAAAATGGGGGTAACCGACCTTACATTCACGTTAACTGACATTGGCAACCAACATTTTTATTGGCTATTTCAATCCTACTTGACGACCCAACTATGAAAATATTATCATTTCCTTCTCGAACATTTTAGTCTACGAGTAAAATGCATGCAAACTTTGTGTTTTGCTATTGCGTGCGTGTTATGTTAGCTAAAAATATGTCGTTTTGAGCGTTATACTGGCCAACAGTCTTCGCAATCAAACAAGAGAAGTCTGCACTATCAGATAAAAACATATCGGGCGACTGGGAAAGCAAGGAATGGCGCAATTTACAATACAGGTAATTGAGGCCAAAAAAAAATATGTGGGTTTCCGGTTTCCCGACCCTACCTAGCTTTTAGACGTCGAAATCCCGACCCTAAACTTTTTTATTGGATCATGCTTGTAAGTGTTTCCACTTAGAGAAAAAAGTTTGTGGAAAATTGAAATTTGAGGCAATATTAGGGAAATTTATCTTTGGATGTGGAAGCACTGACTAAACAAAATGGCGTCCTCTTATTCGGAAAATTAAAAAAAAAGTTAAAAAAAAAAGTTAAAACCGACCTACCCTACCTAAGTTTTTATAAGAAGAAACCGGAAACCCACATATTTTTTTTTTGGCCTGATCATAAAATATTGCATCAGTGTTTGCCTTGTTACACTCGAATTTCTGCGTTTATTTAACACGGATTATGATATATACTATGAGAAATAGTGTTACAAATAAGGTACATACTTGGTAAAACTTTTCTGCCTTTGGTTTTGGCTCAAAGTGTACTACGCGTGGCAATATAGTCGATACTGTTTATAGTCATGAAATTGTTTACCCAGCTAATGACGTCAGATAATGTATGTTGTGGCATAAATATTTATTTTCGAAAATGGCGGACAACCTTTTGAACTATTTATTACATTTTCCCAACAACTAAACGCGACAAACTGGCCAAAATATAAAATTAAGTATACCTAATAGATATAAGCAATAAACATTTTGGTTGCCAATGTCCTTTAAACCCAAAATATCGGCCAATAACCGGAGTGACTCATCAAATGACTCTTATCAAAGTTTAATAAACATTCAAAATCACATTTCAAAGTTGTATTAGCTTAATTTGATTTCAATAGCAGTATAAAGTTGTTTCAAACGATCTTTTATGGCCAGAAAAAATTGTCGTGATACGATTCTTTGCATCTCTGACCCTGAATTATGGAATATGCATATCAAAGAACAAGTAGTTTTCGCTCGATTGATCTGCTTTAAATTAGAAAATATATATTCTTTATTTTTCTTTACACAATAGACAAAACATGCAAATAACGATTGAACAATTGGCATGACTTAGCTTTTGTCCTAACCCAGTTAAGCCCTATAAGCCCTACATTAACCTATTGCGCGATATTTATATACATTCCTGAACGTAAAATATGTTTTTCCGCCATCGTGCTGTTTTTCTTGTGTTCAGTATAAATATAATACACTTCATTTATCTGGGACGTGGCAAGCTTAGTAAGCTTTGGTTGGCACCGAACGGGAAAAATTTTGAGTCCCTAGAATCTAGATCGTCGGAAATGGCATTCTCAAAGTCTTCTCTACCTCTTTCTTTTGGGCTTTTTCATTAATCCATTCATTATAATTTGTGAGCCGTATATACTATCCGCAAGTCAGGATGGATTATTACTATTCATCGGCTGATCGCTGCAATTTTTTTTAATTCAATTATTTTGGGGGTTGCCGAAAGCTATTCCGCACCCCCTTTATAAAATGTATATTGGGGGTGTGGCCCTCTCCTGTTTCCTACGCCCCTGGATTTAGGGCTACATAAAATCGATACCTATATTTAAGGTAAGTCAGTTTCCCTTTATTCGAGATGTTCAGTTTTTACTCCCACTTCCGTTTCCACTACCTCTCACTAGATTAGTACCAGTCTGATTGGTTAATTAATATATCAAACGCATTTGATTGGTTAATAGTACCTTAACTTAATGGTTGACTAGTTATTTATAGTATTCGGAATTTTCCGAAGGGACTCGAAGCTCCAAATTAAGAGAAATAACACGAGTTTCAGAACGCATTCAAGAACGCGTTCAGGTGTTCCGAACGCGTTCAGGAAGGTGTTCCGAACGCGTTCTCGAAGGTGTTCCGAACACGTTTCGGAACGCATTCCGAACGTGTTCGCAGCATTAGGTTTACTTCTGAGCAGTACTGTACTGTACATTTACCCAATTTTGGTACCCAAGCCTATACACCAACCCCAACATCCACCCAACACATGAAGTACGCTTGTTGAAGACCTATTACTACTTGTTAATATCCTGTCAAACTACAACATTAAAGCGCCAATATAGATTTCTATATTTGCAAAAATCTTGCGGAAAACTCGGGCATAGTATTGCTTAGAAATCCGACTGTGTAATACATATTTTGCGCACTTCCCAACGGCATACAGCAATATATTAACCCAGGATAAGGTTCTGTTGTCTTTGCAGAGTCGGTAATGAACAATATGTCTAGTTTGATGCAAGCAATTCAGCTGAAATCATACCAAACGACGCAAACACAAGCATGTTCGCCATACATGATGAAAATGATTGGGTCAATTTTAAAACAGCTAAAAATCTAGTTAACTATAAAATTAGAGATAGTAAAAAGCATTATTATAATTCTTTGTTTCAACTCAACGTAGGTCGAACTAAAGAAACTTGGAATGGTATCAACAGTCTTCTTTCTAAATCTAAAAATTCAACTACTATACCAAAAATCTTGCAAGATGAAATCGAAATTACTGACCCAGTAACTATCAGCAATGTTTTTAATAAGCACTTCACTGAAATCGGACCTAAATTAGCAGCACAAATTCCAACAACTGGTGCGGCCTCTTCTAACATTCCGCAATGTAATGAAGTTTTTGAATTACATGAAGTTACTCCATCTCAAATAGATGGACTAATTTATAAATTATCGACTTCTAAGGCTAGCGGTCTTGATAACATTCCTGTTCTTTATTAAAACTAATTAATTTCACTACTGTGGTTTCACTTACTCACATTATTAATCTAGTAATTCGCAAAGGGAATTATTCCCGCCGACTGGAAGTGTGCCAGGGTATCAGCAATTTATAAACATGATTCAAAACTAGATTTTAATAATTATAGGCCTATTTCAGTCCTTCCAGTAGTTTAAAAAATTTTTGAAAAAGTTGTCTTTGACCAAGCATATGCCTTTTTAAACAAAAACAACCTTTTATCTGACATACAGTCAGGATTTAGACCTCTTCACTCAACGTTAACAGCTATGCTTGATGTCACTGATAAATGGTACACTAACATGGACAGTGGGTTAATAAATGCTGTCTTATTCA